TCCTGAAGTGTGGGTAGACAGCAGTCACTGTTCTCCTATCACATACAAAGCCATTCATTCACAGGAGTTTATCAAACTGGCCAAGCACGTGTTCCCCTTGGTGAAACCATGTTGACAACTCTAGACAACTGTCTGATCCTTCATGTGCCTGGAAACAGTTTCCACCACTGTTCCACCACTTTCCAAGGATTGAAGTGTGACTTACTGGCCTGGGTCCTTCTTCTTGACTTTCTTGTGCATGTCCAGTTTGCTTAAATATTGTCTGACCTGATCCTTGTCCACCAATGCTATGTCTTCTCTGATACAGAGATTGCCCTGGTTTCAGGGACCTGGAATTTCTGAAGGTCAGTCTTGCTAGTAAAGACTGAGGTGAAGAGGGGATGGGATTCTTGCCGCCTTTTCCACGTCCTGTGTAAAGAGGTCTGCCATCTCATTCAGCAATGAATGCATCCACATCTTCCCTCATCTTCTTTTTGTTACCTATGTACCCATAGAAGCCCTTCTTGTTGTCTTTGATGTTCCTAGACAGACTAAATTCCAGTTGGGCTTTATCTTTCTTAACTTCACCCCTGGATGCTCTGATGATGTACCTCCATTCCTCTCAGGTTACCTGTCCTTACTTTATTTCCTTGTATACTTCCTTTTACTCTCTGATATTGTCTGGGAGTTCAGTGTTCATTCATGCAGAAATTTTGCCTGGCTTTCTCCCCATTGGGATAGATTGCTCCTGAGCTTGGAGGAGGTGATGCTTGAATATTAACCAGCTTTCTTGGGCCGCTCTTTCCTCTAGGGCTTTATTCCATAGGACTCTACCCTTTGGAAAGGCCAAAATCTGCTGTCTGATGTACAGGGTTGTGAACTTGCTTTTTACTCTCCTACCTCCTTCCAGGACGCCAAACTCCACCATCTCACTGTCTCTGCTGCCTTTGACTCTCACATCCCCAGTGTGCCCCTCCTTGCAGGTGAGTAGAAGGTCCAGTGAGCACCTCTCCTCTGCTCCTCTGTCACTTGGATGAAGAAGCTGACGTACTCCAAGGACCTCCAGGATTGCCTATGTCCTACTGAGCTGTCCCTCCTGTATGTACTGGGGTGGCTGAAGTTCCCCATGAGGACCTTCACAGCTCAGACAGAGGCAAAAGCTGTGAAGAGGTGCAGGGCGAGACGCAAAACCATTTTCACAATGCTGTAGAAATTCACATGCTAACATATTTTTCACTGAAATTTGGTATAAGTGCCAGAGGTACAGCAGTTAGTTCATGGATGCATAGGATTTTAGGACCACTGTGAAAAACATCCCAAATATTGCGTTCCCTCACAGTGGCATACTATGTGTTCAATGCAGTTTTCTTTATATCCCTTCTATTATTATTATTTTTATAAAGACCAAAATGTTTAAAGGAACCATTCTTAATATGACCAACTGAACCCATTATTTCTAGCCATAAACTGTACTATCAGTACCAGTCTAATGATCCAGGAGAGTTATTATGTGGCCAAACAGTGCATCCATTTGTGAGGTGCCTGGTACAGCCCATTAGGTGTGTGAGAGCTAGAGAGAGAGGGAGATGCTGTGTAATACCTGGAATGAGTATTTATTCTGCTCTGCTGGTCAGACAGAAAGTGCATGATCACAAAACACATGCACCACATCACCATCTGTGTGGTAGGGTTTTCTTTCTTGATATATTTGTCTCTAATGATACAGCTGTCAACTGCAGCTACCACACCAGAGGACCTGCACCTTTTTTGGCTCAGCTCCTGGTCCCAAACAAACATATTCATCCAGCCATTCAACTTGTTTTTCACACTAATGGAAAGTAAAGTTATAAGTGCCTTCATGAAAGCATAAATGTTAAATGACTGTATTCACAAATTTGCTCTACATTGCCCTTTTCAGCTCAATCTTGAACTGAAGTTTTGCTGGGGAAAAGTTATGCTTCTATTTACTTTTTGAAGTATTCTTAACTCCTTTTCCTAAAGAAGACATGAAAGATGTTGCATTAAAAAAAAAAAAAAAAAAAAAAAAGGCTTCCACACAACTTAAATTTGCTATTAATGTCATTAAAACTCATCAAAATATGTTAAGAAATACAATAGAAGCAATGCAATAACAACAGGCCTAATCCCCACCAATGTAAATTTGCCTAGCACTACTGAAGTAAATGAAGCCACACTAGTTTAGACCACCTGCACGTCTTCTCAACATGTTATACCACTACTCATTTTGATAAATCATCACATCTAAGTTTTTTTTTTTCAGCTAAAGTAAGGAAATTTTTTCAGCTACAGTAAGGAATTTCTTTTAGCCAGACAGTGATAAAGTTTGAAGATGAGATTTTAAAATACTCTACAAGAGTCAAGGGCACTGTGATTGTCATTCTGATGGCTAGTTGGACTGTGACAGCTCCTAAAAACCCAAGCTCCTGTTGCCCTGAGTTCTGGTCTAACACATATCAAAAGATAAACCCTCGGCAGTTACAATTATGCTTTCACCTCGGACAACATTGGCAAGTTAAAGAGGTTGAATTCTTTATTATTCTCAATAATATTGAGACCTATGCACACAATTTTAAGCATGTTGACTTTATTTAAAGTTCTAAGTACAGTGCCTAAAGCTAAGCAACCATCTATGTGCTGCCCTCAGTATGAATACTTTATGCATTGAGACCTACAAAAAGTCAAAATAAACCAAATGCATATAGCTGCAGATTGAAGCAGAAAAAAGGATGGATAAGTAGTAGCAAATTGGCCATGACTCACAGGTGATTAAGGGAGTTAGACATTCAGATAAATAAATCAGAATTATCTAAATCTTTAGTTTGCACTGATATGGTGACACGTTGATGTGTTGAGATGTGATGACTTTTCTTGACAATTGGAACAGTGGCTAGCAGACTTGAGAGCTCATAACAGGGTTTAGAAAATCCTTTAGAGGTTCTTAAAACCAATATTGCCTAATGTACCAAATGAAGTCTACATGGTAGACTGTGGTTCAGGGAAGAGTAAAGGGGAAAAAACAAGTATGTGAGAAGAATTCACAAACAAAGAGGCCATGCCCAAACTGCATCATCTCAACCAGCTTCTGCAATGACCTGAGTCTCTTTAATACCTCTTCTCAGCTTCCCAGGTCATCACTGCATCTGGAGGCTAAAGCATCCATGCCTTACTGGGCGTGGAAAACAGATTATCAGCTGAGCAGTATTTCAGTCCTATTACTGTCTTCTATTCTCTTGGAATTCCTTGTCCATCAGACATAGTAATAGTAGACCCCGTGCTCAGATATGGCTGCTTGAGAGCAGAGTGGGGATTCTCAGCAATGCCATACAGGCAGAAGAAAGGTTTATCTGAACTCAGCAGGAAAACATGTGGACACTAGTTATGATGTGCATGAACATGCAGGGACTTGGAGCAAAAAAAAGCTCCCAGTTCCTTTTTTTTGCCTCACAATGCCAATTTCCCACAGGTTCTGGGATTGAGTCCTCTACATGCTCTGAAGGTGCTTCAGACACAACATCCCGTAGAAAACCTTCCTAGTCTTTCCAGCTGAATGCATGTAACTCTTCTTGCTGTGACTTTCAAGGCTGAATTGTCAACAGAAAGGTCTCTCAAGAATCCACATAAGGAGTCTCATGTTTAGGAAGGTTTATGAAAACAAGACTAATTGTAATTTTCCCTTGCTGAGTAGCCTGTGAGGTCCCACAAAGTCCTTGCAGCTGCAAGGCCTGCAAGTGCTGACAGCTATCTCCTCATAAAAGTGTAATTGCTGACAAAAGGAAATTGCATCATCCAGCTTTTTTCCTTCTTTATCAAAAAAAAAAAAAAAAAAAAAAAAAGGGAAGTTCCCCTACAGTAATGTTAATGGCAGGAGGATTAATTCTAGGAAGTTTGGCAATGTTTCTTTTAAAATAGGTCATTTAGCAGAATAATGAAGAGGAGTTGAACACTGACTCAGTTTGCCAAGCTGACCTTGTACTCCTGATTCAGACATGGGCACGGGGAGGACCAGGCTTTGTTCAGACCTCCAGAGCACCAAAAAAAGTAGCAAGATTGTGAAGAGAACAAAGTAAAGAAGAGCTACTGGGAAGCCCTGGATGTGCTAGTGCTGTAAATCTTTTACTGATAAAGTGTGATGCTCTCTCCAGTCTCCTTCCAGTGATGGATGTTTGGGCTGTTCAGGCTTTTAAGAGTACTGCTGGATTGGCTTTGGCATATGAGAAAAAGTAGTTATTGTAGGTGAACACTGAAAACATATCTTGAATTTTTAATGCTTAAATAACTGTCAGATAGCCACATTCAGGTATGGCTATTACACAAATATGAGCTGATCTTAGTGGCTGCTGTGGGGGAAGAAATTACATTTGCTATGGTAGGAAATATAAGGTGTTTTTCATGATCACTTAACTCTTGAATCAAGGAGATTTAGGATCAATAACTGAGGCAGAGAGTGTTTGTTAAAGCAGTAAATAAAAAATGAGTCCATTCATAAGGATCAAGGGAATATGATTCACTGATGCCTCCAATGTTTACGGATAAAAATTATTTTTTTAGATACCCTGTTCTTTGTTTTTGTTTTTTTGTTTTTTTTTCATATTGCAACAGAGTTGTCTTCACAGCTTGTCTTACAGTTTTGGTTTGGTTTTGTTATTCTTTTTAATCCTGCTCCTATTCATCCCTAAAGGATTGCAGAAGAGTTAAAACCTTCCCCGTTGAAAACCTGTGCTTGACTTGAGTCTCCGGGCACTGCAGAACCATTTCCTGTGATTGCAGCAGAGAGAGATAAAATTCCACTGTGGTGGGAATAAACCGAAATTAGATCAAAGATTTCCGGATAATTAAGACTTCCAAACCAAAACCTCTTTTTCGCTTGACTCTACTATTTTTTTTTCCCCCAAGGCAAACAGGGCAGTGCTTCACACAGGAAGCCACATCTGCCTATCAAAACCAACAACCCAAACTGAAAGCGTGACAAGAGCTGAACCGCATTTGCATCCACTGCGATTCCCCGCGCAAACCTGCACCGCCCCGCAAGCAGAGGGCTCAGGAGGTGCCTGGCTGGCTGAACGCCTCCTCCGCGGACACATGCATGAGCTAGCACAGGTGGATGGAACTGGCGGATTTGAGGTGTGAGGTTCTAGCTCTTCTGCCGCGAAGCAGCTCAGCGCCCAGTTGTGGGTTAGGAGCTGGACAGAAGAAGGCTGGCAGAGGTGGCAATACACAGCGAGCCCGGGGCTCTGCACAGCTGCTGAGAGCCCCCTGCTCAGCCCTGTGCGCCTGATGGAGGACAGGAGCCGCCAGCTCCCGCGCTATAAAAGCCAGGAGAGGCGCGGGGTGGGGCTGGCGTCAGCGGGAAATGTCTCCCTGGAAGCAGGTACGTGTCCGCGCCCTGCGCGTTCGGGCGGGCTCGGGGCGGGCTGGGGGCCGAGCGCACCGGGGCTGCTGCGCTCCGTCGCCGCGGCGGGGCCCGGGAGCTGCCCCGCTCTGCTGCGGCCGCGGGGGGAGCCCGGCCCCCGCTGCCCGCCTCCCGAGCGGGCCGGGAGCCGCAGCTGGCAGCTGCCCGCGCCTCCCGCCGCTTCCCCGGTGGCGGCACGGATCGCCGCCGTCCTGCCCCCGCGGCGGGAAGGGCCGCCCAAGCGGAGCCCTGCTCCCTCCGTCCCGCCCTCCTCCCGCTGCCGCACACCCCGAGGAACGGCTTGTTTTCCTGCCCGGATGATGGATTTCTCCGCAAGGTCATCCCTGCCCGCGGCGGCGGTGTGCCCGCGGCTCCCCAGGCGCCGCCGCGGAGGTAAGGGGCGGGGGAGCGGAGCGGGCTGGCTGAGCACCCACAGCAGCCAGGGCGTTCGGCCGGGGAGCAGCGGCGGGGTGCGCGGGCAGGTGCCGGGGCGAGGCGGGCGTGCCTCGCTCTGCCGGCCGCGCCCGGCGCGGGGCTCCGAGCCGTGCCCGGGGAGCTGAGCCGAGCCCCGCTCCGCAGCGGGAGGGGCTGCGGCCGCCCCGCCGAGCGGGCACCGGCCGGTGGGAGCGGCTCCCGAGGGCGCCTCTCTGATGCTCTGCTTGTTTTACCGCCGCTTGTAAGGGACTCTGGCTCAGGAGTGCGGAAAACTTAAGAAAAGAAATAAAAAAGGTGGAGGGAATATTGATGAGATGCCCCCCACCGCCGGGACGGGCCGGGGGGATGCGCGGCGCCGTCGCCACGGCAACGTGCCCGCGGGCGCGATGTCGCAGCGCGGAAGATGCCCCGGAGGCGGCCGCCGCCGCGGCGGTAACCCCGGCCGCCGCCTTCCACCGCCCGGAGTGGGGATCGTGGCCAAGGGGCGTCCCCCGGGCCGAAGCCGGGCGGAGGCAGCGGGAAGGGTGAGCTGGGGTTACCCCCGGGTGGCTGTCGGCGGAGCCCGGCGCTCCCCAGACCGTGGTGCGGCGGCTCTCGGCCGAGAGAGGAAGGGTCCGCCAGGGTTGCGAGCTGGGATGTCACGGTCAGGGAACATCGGGCTGTGAGGATTGGCCAGGTGATGTCCCTTGCCTGGCTCAGGGCGTTGGGCTGGGCACGAATTCCTCACGGCCTTTTCTTTCTCTTGCTGTAGTTGGTGACAAAACTACTGATGATGTCAGCTCCTGGACTGTGGCTTGTGTTGTCCATATTCAGCTTGTGTTCTGTGCCCCACACAGGCCTTGGCTTCATTAATGCTTTATTCCTTCATCCGTTTTTTTGTCAAGGAAGATAATAATGCTAGTGGTGGGGTTTTTAGCCATAAAACATTATTATGGTCCCATAGGCTAACCTTTTCCATAATATAAAGCAGAGACTTCCCCAGTGATTCCAAGGTCTGGCCCACCAGCCTCTTCAAACAGTCTTGATTAAATGACTTCCAACAATGGGAATTGACTACATTCCTGGATAATTGGTTCCAATTTTTAATTGCTTTGTTAAACGTTTGCATCTCTTTTCCCCTTTGAACTTTTCTGACTTCATCTTCCAGCTACTAGATCTTGTAATGTTTTGCCTGTCAGATTAAATAGCTATCTAGTTTCAGATCATCTCTCTCTGCTCAAGTATTTAAGGGCAGTAATTAAATAGCCACTTAACATTGTCTCTGATGAGATAAATAGACCTGACTCTCTTGGTCTCTCCCTGGAATGCAGATGCTCCCCAGGAGAAATGTCTGGGCTGCTTTCTCAGAGCCTCCACCACCATCCTTGCCGGCCTCCGGTGCTGCCCAGCAGCAGGATTCCAGGAAGGCCCTTGTTAATGTCACGTGTGGAGATAATAACCTCGTGCTCAGTATTCCCCTGTCTATTCACTCAATGGTACAAACTTTTCTTTCCCACGACTACGTGGTGGGAACTTCTGTTCCACTAGTTGTAGGCAGTGATCCCTGCACTTCTTTGGAAGCCAAGGTTTTATCAGAAGCTGGTTGCCTGTCCTGTCAGGAGCATTTGAATTAAATATTTCTACATTTGTACTTTTGGATCTGCCTGTATTAGAGTTTTTTCCCTCCTCAGTTCACCTCGCTTCTGTGGAGTCTGCAGCTCAGGAATCATAATAGACCTTTGGTGTCCTCTAGAAGTCAGAAGGGCTTCTTTTCCCAGGATCTCCCTCCTAAAGGTCTGTTTTTTCCCCTTTACTCTTCCCTGAACCACAGTCTGCCACTGTCTGCCTTATTTTCCAAAACAATACACCTGCCAGCTTCAAATAAGTTTAAGGTCTCTTGGAGTAAAAGATACTAAGAAGTTGCACTGCATAATAATATAAACTGCAAACTGAATGTGCCCATTACAGTGAATTGCTTTTGTAACTGCTTTTGTTCAGCTGTGCCTCCAAGTGTTGGTGGGAGAAAAAGAGAATTGCTTTCCTGTTTTAAAGAGCTGTAAATCCCACCGCTGGCTCTGAAGTCTAGGCTGACATACACAGTGCCATTATTTTGCCAGTCTTTAACCTGAACATTGTGAGTTTTACTTGTTCTGAAGTGTGCTTAAGCCTAGACTTAGAGCTCTCTAGAAAGCACAGTGTCTGAGAGTATGGGCCAGAGGTTAGGTGGCTTTGAGAGAATATTGTCAAGGTAGCACCTTGAATCTCAACAAAATTATGAGATTTAGTAGTCTGAAGGCACCTTCTGTGAGAGATGTTACAAAAAAAGTTCTTTGAAATTAACTATTTTTGTTGTTGTTGTTTGGGTTGGGGTTGTTTTTATTTTTTGTTGTGGGTTGTGTGTTTGTAACCACCTTGACTTGAGGGAGGGTGGTGTAAGAGGTCTAGAAATTAAAGGTCTTTACATGCAGACCATCCCATGGAGTAAGTGATATAATGATGCCTGTGAGGAAGGTTTGTTTGCAGGAATAATGATAGCAGGTTTCAGCATTTAGAATGACCTAGTTGTCTTCAAAGTGTTAAAATTAAGAAAAGTACGTTCTGACTGTGTAACGACTTAAATGTCAGGACAAAGAGTGTTATTGAAATTTCGTGAAGAATTTTTTATTACAAGTCCCAGAAAATGTCTATTCATAAGATTTCATGAACTGTAGGCTGTGATGCACTAAATATAAACAGTCTGAAAAATCATCACAGTGCTCAGATATCACATCTGATTGAACAGAGCTCCAGAATTCTGCTGAATTTTCTACAGGCTGGTGTCAGCATCTTAGGAATTTCTCAAGTGTTTGTCCAATTGTATATCTCCCCAATACGAAATTCTGAAATGTTACTACCTGAGAGATATCTTTTCCTCACCCATTCAAACTCACCTTCTGTCCCCCAGATTGGGCTAATATCTCTGAGTTTTTTTCAACATATGCTATCTCTTCTCATGGTTGCACCTTTTCTTCAACTCCTTTTGCATAAGAAGAATATGTGTGTGTTTCCTTGGGGTGGCTGGTCCCAAAAATTACACATTTCTGAATTATGAAGCCCATCCAGAGTCAGCCCAGCATTAAGAATAGTGGCTGGTAATTAATTCTGCAGGCTCTTAATTAATTGTAAACAGACAGGAGATAGTATTTTTGAGTCTCAAGCTTGCTGAAGGCTGTCTAGTGAACATTAGGTTAGACAGATTTCACTAGCAAGATACTATGGCAGTGGTAAAATCTGTCAGATTTGGGTCCTGAAACTGTTACTGACACTGTTATTTTTAAGAATGTAAACTCTCTCTGTCAGACTCAGCCAAAGCTAAGGGGAACAACATCCTGCCTCCAGTTTGTGAAATCCTCACTGCTGTAGGAGTACAAGCAATCTGCTCGTAGTCTCACAGCTACAGTCAGAACAAAATTTTGTAACTGAGAATTATGCTCCTAGCAGCACATCACTTCTTAATTTATAACTCCCACACTAAAAGCAGAGTTAGGATACAGGCTGAATCTGCTGCCTTTGTGGATTTAGGAGCAATCCTGGATTAAGACTTGATGTTACCTAGTTTAGGTAAACATCACCTTCTTGAGAGTCAGAACAAAAAAAAAAAAAAAAAAAAAAAAAAAAAAAAAAAAAAAAAAAAAAAATTTTTTAAGGGAAAAAAAAATT